AGGAGGAAACACGTCATGAATCAGTGAAGTTATAGATCATCAAGCAGGACATGTGTTCATAATGGCTTCATCTATAAAATAGAGACATTTGAACTGACACTACTCACAGGCTTGTCACTAAAGCCGAAGCCCAGGAAGTCTAGTGCAATGACTCGATGGAAGCGCTGAGTGAGGGGCTCCCAGATCTGTACAGAGAAACACACATTTACTCTCTGGTCAAACACATTATTTATAATCGACAAATACATAACACGCACAGATACATACATAGATACTGAAAAACGAAACACTCCTCCACATTTACAGCCTTCTTATTCCTTTGATACATTCCATTTCTCCCAGCCTCGTTCACAGATCTCTGCTTTAGTCCTCAGACAGTAGGGCAGTCTTTACATTTCTTCTACAATGTCGAGCCACTGACCCAGGCCAGGAGGGTCACCTTTTAACCCTTTTAAAGATAGAGGTCTTCCTTTCCAATGATACTATCTGGAATCAAGCCTAGGTGCATAGCCCTGAGGTCACAGGGACTCTTATACGTTCATATGTCTTCCAGAGTCTGAGTAACCCCTGAGTTATTGGGATGGAACTGTCCACATTGTCTCACACAGTACTACTGTCTTCCCATTTGTTTATTTTTAATGTCCATCCAAGTTCCTTCCATCTTTTGGAGCTAGTTAAAGTATGTTGTTTTCAGCATAGAATGCCAATCACTCTCAGACGACTCAATGTTAAACTCTCCCTCCCACTTCATTTTCACACATAGGTTACTTCTGGGGTTTGATGAAACAAGCCTGCCAGAACTCCAATTACTTCATTGCCTTCTATTGAGATTCCTTTTTTCATTTCTGTGTCATGGAAATGTTATAGATATTTGAACAGGTCCCTGTTTTCTAGCTCAAACTCTGAAATAATCAAAGTGTCTCTCTACGAGTCCAGCTAACCCAATCAAAGTCTTTTTAAGCGTCAAAACGACATCTATGCTTTTTAACGGTGCTTCGGTGTGTTTCACTAGCTACTGATTGCGTACCTTGTTCCAGTCGAAGCTGGAGGTGGGGAAGCCGTGCAGCAGAATGATGACATCAGAGCTTCCCAAAGCACCGGAGGAATCTGGTTCAGGGAGAGAAGACATTTACATGTATGACAAGCACATGTGTGGAAGGGATGGATGTCATGGTGAAAAAATAAATAAACAAGATTATAACTAAGAATATGATCAGGTCTCTCAAAAGCACACGGCTTAGCTCATAAGACAATGTGACATTTATATAGATTGAACAATTAGTCGATAAAGAAAATGAAAACTTGAACATTTAATGGCAACTAGGCAATCTCTATGGTTATAAGCTCTAGAACAGGCGGAAAATAAAAGTGTATTTCTTTGGGTGTTAGCCAGTCAGACAAAATGTACGATGTCTCTTATAATGAGGTTCGCAGCCTGGGCGTCACTCTGGACTCCAGCCTCACCTTCAACTCCCACATCAGATCTACTGTCAAAACTGCTTTCTTTCACCTACGAAACATCTCCAGACTCCGGCCCTCTCTCCCCGACCCCGTTGCAGAAACATTCATTCATACCTTCATCTCTTCTCGTCTGGACTACTGCAATGGAGTTCTGTTCGGGGTCACCAGCAAAGCCCTGGACAGGCTCCAGTACGTCCAGAACTCTGCAGCCAGGCTCCTCACCCACACTAAGCCCTGGCAACACATCACCCCTACCCTCATCCACCTTCACTGGCTCCCGGTCAAGTCACGCATCCAGTACAAACTCCTCCTGCTAACTTACAAATCTCTCCACTCCCTAGCCCCTCCATACATCTCTGACCTCCTTCAGCCCTACACCCCCCTCTCGTCACCTGCGGTCCTCTGACAAAGGGCTGCTCTCCATCCAGCGCTCAAAGCTGAAAACATTTGGCAACAGAGCCTTCAGTGTCGCAGCCCCCACCCTCTGGAATTCTCTCCCCTGTGCAATCAGGAATGCAGACACTCTGGACACCTTCAAAAAACACCTCAAACACCATCTGTTCACTCAGGCCTTTGGCCTCAACTAATATACAGTACTCAGCAACCTGTTCCTGTTTTTGTTTTCTTCAGCCTATGTATCTTTATTATTACTTTTTGTTTTGTTACTTCCCATTGTAAAGCGTCCTTGGGTTTCGTGAAAGGCGCTATATAAATTGAAATTATTATTATTATTATTATTATAATGGATGTTTTTCACTTGATTTGGATGTTAAAATAATAATCGTGAATTGAAAATGTAATGAAGCCCTGGTCAAAGTAATATTCCATTACACTCCTGACTACCCGTGCGTGTACATTAACCCCAGCACTGTGACCGAGGACACATTCAAAACTCACCTCTGTAGAAGATCTCCCTGCCTCTGAAGTGGAACACCTCCCCCGCACTGTGCCACTTCTGCAGGGCGGGGGACAGGTGGGGGGGTGGGATGTGAAGGTAGACAGCCACCAGAGGGATGCAGATCAAACCCACATGCACCCACCACTCTTTCATGTTGAGCTCAGCGGTGTCTCATTCCTGCCTCTAGGAGAGGATGGGTCACATGCAACAGTATGGATTAGATTAGACACCATTGATCCCAAAGTGTTGTTTGTTACAACAGCTTGTTAACAGATCATTGCACAAGAGTTCAACAAATAAACAGTGTATGTTTACTTATCAACAGAATTCAGTTAGATATCCATAGAGTATCAATAAAATAAACAATATAAAATACACAGAATAATTTAGAATACACTAAAATAGGCCAACCTGGTTTAGCATACTCACATGTATTCATATTACTTAAAAATGTCAATAACAGTCTCTATAGTATATTCATATTTATTCTATTTATACTGTATAGTACTGTCTTTTTTGGACCTGATCTATAGTATATTCAATTTCTATACTGCTGTTTATAATGTCTAGATACCTCCATATACTGTTCATAGTGTAAATACTGTCAGATGTATATTTGTATTATACAAATATCACTGTACTTTACTACTTGTTCTGCATTTTCTGGTTAGATGGTAAGTGCCTTTCGTTCAGCTTTCGTTGTCTTAGTACTTGACAATGACAATAAAGTTAGATCTAATCTAATCTAAAATAATGAGGAATAGGTAATATAACTCCATACAGGTGAGATCTGGCTGCCTTCTCACCTATATTGTTGACATTACTATACAGCACGATCATCCAATGTGCATTGTGTGGCGTTCAGGGACCAGCACCAGCTGACAGAACATGCTAACTGAGCTCTAACACTCAAATAAGGATACAACGTTACAGTAAAATTAACGATTTTAAGGGGGGCATTCAATAACGTCCAACTCAAGAGGGAAACACACAGCTTCCCCTTCACTCATTCTACAACACGGTGTGTTAGTTTTGAGAGGCTGACAGTGTAGCAGACTGCAGTACTTACAGAAACGTTACGACCTGTGGTTAGCAGACCTTCGGCCGGTGTCAGAGTCCATTACTGCAGAAGGGATTCCTGCAGAGCGGAAAGGAACCTCGGTAAGAGGAAGAAGAGTGTAGACGTCTCACTCAGTTGATAGGCAAACTTAATTATCCTAGCAGCGCACTGGGTTGTGGTTGTTTTCCCGACCGCATGTGAAGAAGGTGACCCCGAGTGACTCATCTCTACAATACACAATCTTTGTTTAAAGGGCTACAAGCAGAGGTCCAGAGATAAGTCGACTGCCATCTGGTGGTGTGGATGTGCAACGACAACTGATTTTGTGTTTCTAGATTCAGTTTATCAGATCTATATCTAGATGTATCGATACATCCTTTAGCAGAATCAGATGATGCATTTATTGGTAACAGCTTTTATCATATAGGCCTATTAATAATTACAAAGCCCCTTAAAATGAAATTGATCTTTAGGCTGTAACATAAAACATCGAGTAAATAACGTAAATAAGCAACAATGTGAAAAGGAAAATCAAACTCACAAAAAATCGAATCCTAAAATGTATTAATAAAGTTACGCAATCCATAATAGTGAATGTGTGTGTGTTTTAATTAAAATAAGATTGGCAGACTGACAAACACACATTATGTCCTCACAGAGCGAGCAGGTGGACAGCTCCCTTGACCTCCGATGCTGGAGGGTTTCATAGAGGGAAGGTACTAAAGCAGCTGTGTACATCAGGCACTGTACAGATGTTCCTCCATCATAGATCAATGCAGATTAGCTGACTCCTGCAGTGCAGATTCTGTCTGGAGGGTAATGGACAGCCAGCGGCTGTTTGCAACAAGCAACAAACCGTGCGCGGGCACGCATATAGGTGTGCTCTAGTACTTTAACAAATAGCACTACTCATGGAGTACACAGAGAACACTACACTCATGGATGTACAGTAACCTACAGAGAACACTACACTCATGGATAATCCGCCAACGCAGCAGTCTGCACGGATACAATTTGGGTTCAATTAATCAGATGAGAACTGCCAACAAAATATTTTGCAAAATAGCTTGGACTTTAAAATATAACTACATTAATTAATGTACTCTCATTACCACACAGAAACTTGGCAGTCTGAAGTTATTTTATAAATCCCCGTAGGGACTCCATACATTTATACTATATTTTTGTATCAGCACATTTTTTATATATATTTTATAATAATCAAAATCTACAATATATATATTTTTGGATCAGAATTATTTGAATTAAAAAAAGACATGATATGAGATATTAAATAATTCCAGCCATTATTTACAATGTAAATAATCTTGACAGAAAGCTCTCTAGTTTACGTATTAAAATATATTAGAAGGTAAATTCACACTATATTTCACAGTGATTTGTCAGCTTTGTCCATTAGCTGATGATGATAATGAGTCAATTAAACAGTTACTTTATTGTGTGAAAATCACTCTCACAAAAGCCAGAGATGTTAGCTTGCAGAAATGTAGACGACCACATTTGAATGCATGACTCCACTCCATAAATACTGCATGGGAAATGAAAAACATGGCCCTGCAATTAGGCTAAATACATTTTTTATTTTTAAAAACCATACACATTACTCGACAAGTTTCAAATGTAAATCCAATCACGATATCCATTTAAAATGCTCAAGATAAACAGACATGAAGTACTTTTATTTCCAAATGTTAAAAGATAAAAAAATAATCCATAAAACAGATGGAAAAACATTCATTCCCACTACAGGAAGAAGCTACAGAACAAACTCCTCATGTGGATTCCGCTTGCCTTTTCAATTTATCACTTTGTATGCAATCCCAGCTGCTATTTTATCATCTGTAAAAGATATCAATCTAAGTGTTTCCTCAGAGAACGTTGTGATTTAACATCTCCACGTCCTGTCCACGGCCCTCCAGGTGGAGACGGCCAGCCGGCAGCAGGACAATCTGCAGCCTGCTGGCCCAGCTCCTGTGTGGGGGACAAGCACCGTCCCAAACATTTAATTAAGCGTGGTAATATACAAACTAAAGAGGCCTGTTCTCTTTCACACCGATTGCACCCTGAGATGAATATTCCAGAACAACACACATTTTAGTGGCCAAAACCCTCCCCATATAACGTGATTGGTGTCAAATCATCCAAAATTGGTTTTAGTACGATGAAAGGTATCATCGGTATTGTCATAAAAATACAAAGGTATACGTTTTTATTATGATTTGTATCAAAATGGTTTCCCCCAAGGAACGCTATGAAATAAAGTACCCTGTGCAGATAGATACCAGTGTATGCCTAGTCTTTATTCTTGAAAAATGCACATGTCCAATTCTTTAGCGTTTCCAGTACATCAGGTGTCAAAAATATTTTACAAACAAACCAAATGCAGCAACATTAATCCATGTTGAAAGGAGTCTTATGGACAGGGTTCAAATAAAATAAAAAAGAAGCCTTCCCCCCCCGTTTTTAAATGTCAACAAACCAGAACTCGGAGGAGTTAAATTAAGTTTTTCCTAAGGCATGACTCAAAAGATTGATGAAATATGAAAATAATTCACTTGCTTTTTTTTTTTAACCAAGACATTTTTTTGCTATCTAAATACACAAAGTCTCAAGTTAAAAAGGTTCTTTTGTTATAGATTCCTTTTAAATTAAATATTTCCTCTATGCCTGAGTCAACAAATGTTAATATTGTACATTGGCAGGGGGGTATGTTTGCTGAGATAGACAAAAAGTAAAAATGAAATGCACTGGTTTAAAACAAACAAAAACCAAAGATAACCAGGGACCATATTTACCAAGCATCCAGAGAGAGCGAATGATTCATCACAACTGGCCCAGAAGCATCAGAATGAAGCGGATTGGTCCTACGCTTAGCTGTAGGAGTAACAGTGTTTATCTGAGGAGTTACCTGCAGGCGGGAAATGCATCGTCTCAATTGTTTTTGTAGCCAAGGCACATTCAAGTTTAGTGTAAGTGAAGAATAAATAGGAGCACTTGCTGAATACAGCAATACTTTGAACAAAAAGGTGATTTTAGTAGTGTTTTATGAGCTGTGGATAAAATCAATGTTAGCCTTGCATGCATAAATTGGTCACACACCCATGAGATTTCCCTGCATCAAATCTTTTAAATCTAACTACTACAAGAAGACATTTTACTTTACGGTGCAGTGTGTAAAACAAAACAAATCTAAAGAACTTCTACTTCCTGCTGAAGCGACTGCAGGAGGTTAATAACTTCATTTCCGACTGCGAGGTAAGACTTTGTTTCAGCATGATATTGGTGTCAGTCTGAGATGCTTGCTAAAGATGGGCCCAGATATCCTCTCAACTCCCTTTAATGAGTGAACCTTTAACATGTGGAAATCCTTGAACACAAAAGAATGAATGAAAAGAGAATCCAGAACTCCAGAAGGTTTTGTGCACATGAAAACTATCGAAGAAATGGAAGAATATTTATAGCAATGTTAGTGGACAGAGGCCCGAATTGTCTTTCCCGTCGCGTCTCCTGTGAAAACTCCTCCAACCGTGGACCTCTTTTCTATACAAGCCTTAGTGTTTATCGGTTTGGCTAGAAGGTTCTACATGTATCTACAAATATATAACAAATAAAACTTGCAGGCAAAAATAGTTAAGTTTCAATAGAAACACCCTTTTTTTCCTGAAAATACAGCAGTATCTGAAATAATCCTCTCATTCATTTTATATTCTGTCTCAGTTTTCTGCATCATACATCAGGAAGCTCTTTTGCCTACAAACAGAAAAAAAGTATCTACAAACTTTGTAAACAGACCTGCTTTTTCCAAAAACATAAATAACTCAAAATATTAACAGCCAATGGAGCAGAAATAAGTTTTGAATGAGCAAGGGCCAAAGAGATAAATATACAACACCATTCAGATAAAAGAGAAGCGTAAAGGTTCTTTCAGAATTCTTACAGACTTCAGGAGGAGCACCCCCCCCTCCATTCAATAATAATAATAGAATAATAAAAACAGGTCACTTTCAATCTGAGTTTATAATCACCCCTTGTTTACCGAGAACAAAAAAAAGTGACCAGGGGGGGGGGGGTGGGTGGGGGTGGAGATAGAGTCCTTGTGTTGCAGCGGGGTAATAATAAGAACAACAAAAAGAAGAAGACCAAAGCATCCGCACCAAGCCGTACATCCCTCTGAATGTTTGCTGTTCTGAGTCCAGCCAGCTCACACACGCTCTCCTTCTAGCCCTTCGCCTCTCTCTCCAAGTGTTCGTCGTTCCTGTTGTCTGCGTGGAGCTCCTCGTGGCGGGTAGACGGGTGGTGGAGACACGTGGCGGGGGTCAGATCAAAGGGAGGTCTCCAGGCTGTGTAGGGGGCTCCCCGGGGCCGAGGGGGTTCCTGATTTGGGGCCCTCTGGGAGGAGGTGGTTACCGCTCTCCACAGCGTTATTGTTCTGGTTTGGGGAGGGAGAGACCGGCGTGGTGGGGATGACGGTGGGTGCGATGGTGGTGTGGGAGGGTGTGGGTGAGGGCGGCGTGGGCGTGGTGTTGCGGGGGCTGGAGGAGTTGCGCTTGGTAGGAGCGTCGTCCTCGGCGTCGGTGTCATCTATGAGGGGAATATGGGGCTCAGAGTCCTCTATCCGGAACTCGGGGTGGTTCATGAAGTTGTGGATGGATGACCGCGAGTCGGGCTTATCCTGCCCGTCATAGAGGGAGATGGAGCTGCGGAATGCATTCACCACCCGGATCTGGAGGGAGGGGGAAGCGACAGGGAACACACCGTCAGTCACAATCAGTACGGACGTTTGTGCGTTTTAAATTTGGATAACATAAAAAACTGAAGGGCGCAGGTTTTCTTGGGTCAATAAGAGGTGAGTTTTAGGGGCAACAAATTCTGTGAGGGGGAGAACTCTCGTGCAGGTGTGCAGTTATGTCCAGTTGTTTAAACTTGTAATAGCAGTTAACTTTAAGTTGGCTGCCTAATATTTGCCTTCAAACCACCGAAAATTCATACTTGTATGGCAAAAAAGTGTAATGAGGAGCAGCCTATGTTCTTCAGTTCGGTTCATTTGCCAATATACCAAAACATAAATGTAAAAATTTACATTTCTGATGGACAGAAATGATGCTAATGCTAATCAAGTATAAGCACGAGCTAGACTTTAGCCATGACTCTAAGGAAAGTGTTTCTGAAGAATAGAAACCTCGAGTTCCATTCAGTAGAAATAAAACTGATACCTGACTGTAAGCTTGTAAAAACAGATATTCTTCAAATCCATTATGGAAATCCTCCAATGTCTTGGGAAGGGTCAATCCAATGTCAAACCCAATGCAATGTATGTTTTTGTTTTGGTGAGTTCAGTTGCAAGATGTCACAAAACACTTGGTGTCTGATTAATCAAAATGCAAAAAGGAAACTAAGAGACAAGAGGGATGTTGTTCTCTAGACAAGAACACATCCGAAGAGAAGAGAGGACAGAGGCTGGACACAAGAGTTTACTTTTGTTGGACATGCTTAGGAAAGAGTTGGGAGAGAAAAAAGGCAGGAAGAACAAACGAAAAGAAAGTGACAGAGAAAGAGACAGAAAGAAGGACAGACAGAGAGACAATGTGAATAGACAGAAAGAAAGACAGTTAAAAACAGACGGGGGAATAGAGGCATAATGAAAGACGGAAATAAAGAGACAGAGGAAAGAGACAGAAAAGGAAGGACAGGAAAGAGAGGCAGAGGACAGAGACAGGAAGAAAGAGACAGAGGACAGAGACAGAAAGAGACAGGAAGAAAGAGACAGAGGACAGAGACAGAAAGAGACAGGAAGAAAGAGACAGAGGACAGAGACAGAAAGAGACAGGAAGAAAGAGACAGAGGACAGAGACAGAAAGAGACAGGAAGAAAGAGACAGAGGACAGAGACAGAAAGAGACAGGAAGAAAGAGACAGAGGACAGACAGAAAGAAGGAAGGGGTGGTCAGTTACAGCTTATGTTTGTGGGGTAAAAACAAAAAGCTGCGGCAGCCAAGCTACAAGCTGGTTTACGTGTCAAAAACAGCACAAAGAGAAAAACTCACAAACGAGACCAGAGAACTTTGAACCCATGCAGAGCGTGGCGCTACCTTGTGTTCAATGGTAGTAAACCTTTGAGTATAGCCCATGACACATTTCACAGAATCTAAAGAAGAATATGTGGGGAGTCAGTGGAATTCATTCTTTTCAGGCAACACATTGCCAGGTGGACACATACTGACAACAAACAAGTATTCAACAAGGAAAAAGACTTTGAGAAACTCAAGGAGAAACCGGAAAGGAAAAGTTCAGAGTTTAGAATGGAGGCAGGATCAGGGGATTCAGGGGGTCCCACCTGAGACAGAGATCTGAACATTACTTAAATTGCATATTTTCCGACATGCCATGGGGGGAAAACAGTAGAACTAGTGTGAATGTATCTGGGAAAGTCCCACGTTTTGACATTCAAGGGGCAAAGACATTTGTTCCACACTCGGGACATCTGTTAGACATTTAAGATCCACGGCTGGTCAGATGGTCTTGCCTAGGAAGATCTGAAAGAGAAAAATAGTCACCAGCCACACGGTTGTTGGAGCACGGCCTTTGGAAATACCATCATCAATGATCCGTGTCCGCTCTCTATGTGGTGATGTTTCATGCAGAAAAGGGCTGCCAGATCTTACATAACTATACGCATCCAATAAACTGTCATATAAGCTGCAGCTGCTGGTCCACTACAGGGTGCTATTGGAGCCTCTCCCTTGCCACCCCCTATCTTTTTCACGGCCACAGCTGGAGGAGAAAAGCTAATTATTTCACTGACTGACAAGACATCCACTGACACTCGGATACTCTTTCTCACAGGAGGTCCCCATCTATGGTTTTTGGCCGTGATCATGGGCATATACTCAAAACATTTACCCAACTAGGGACTAGCGAGCTGCGACACAGACCCATGGGTGCTACAGAGGAACAGAGCACACGGGGTGAAGCTGCAGGCAAACCTGGTGACAGTCAATCCAGAATATGATGAATACACATCACCCCCCCTGCCCTTCCCAACCTATGCCATTTCTAGGACTGAAGCAGAAGCAGAACAGAAAACATGATGACACAGAGATAACACTTTGACACTAGAAGCGACCTGGTTACATACATATATATACAGCAATGTTATCGAAGCAATATGGAAGATGTCTTGTTGGTGTCTTTTTGACATTACATGACATTTGAGGCATGAGAGAGTAAAAGTGTCAACGTTAGGTGAGAAGAAGAGTGGAGGAGGAAGATGTTAGAAAAACAGAAGAGATAAAAAAAGTCTCATGCACTAGAGGGGAACACGCACTCACACCCCACAGTGGCAGAAGCGGTGTTGGCGGCAGTGGCAGTAGTGGTAGTAGTGGATAAGGCTACATGTGTAGGGCTAGAAACATTGGTTACATCGTGCTGTTGTTGGCTGGAGTTGGAGGCCTGCCGCCTTAGAGCCCCCTGAAAGGAAGTTCCACTCTGGAACGCACTCACTACATCCATCTGCAAAGAATCAGACAGCGTGACAGGAGAAAAGCCCAGAGGAAATAAAACACAACACAGCCAGAGGAGAGTGAAAAATAAAGAAAAGGCACCAGCAACAATAGAAAACATAACTTGGAAATTTGATTTAGGCATCATAGTTCAAAGAGAGAGAGAGAGTAAAGGGGGACGCTGGGTTTAAAGGCACTGATCGGAGGGAGCTCTGACCTCTCTTTCACTCTTTTCTCCGTAGAATCCATCCATATTTGCCACTACGCTTTGAACATTCAGCCGTTTTATCGTGCTTCCAATCCAATCGCTTCTCATCAGTACCTTCAAACTTGTCGTGTTTTAGCAGATTCAGAACGAGTCAGAAATAGCCCAGAAGCAAAACAGAAAATAAGAGGAAAGGCTTTTGTTTAAGGGCACAAGCCATTCTTTAAGAATGCCGAGAAAGAGAACATCGATTTTAAGCTGGAAGAGTAATAGAGAGTTAAAGGGTTTATGGCTTTTGATTCCCTTGGACTTTGGGGGTGTTGGTTGTGGTACAGGGAAGGTCTGTGGATGATTACCTGAGTCTGGATGCGGTTGAGGCCTCTGAACCAGAGGATCTGGCCTCGACGGAGCTCCCGCTCTGCGTGGTCGATCTCATCGTTGTCGTCCAGCTCGTCCAGCTCCTCGTCCGGGATCTCATCCTTCTGGGTGCCATGGCCCGCTGATTTCAAGAATTTTAAGCGGCTGGTAGGTATCGAGGAGATGACCTGGAACACATGAGTATTTACATGAGCAGCACTGACTTGTGAAAATGTCAAACTCCTCCGATTGGCATTTAATTACGAGCTACGTTTCATCAGAGACATTAAACAGCCGGTGACCCTGAAAATGTCTGCCAGGCTCCATGGCAACGACAGCTGTACGTCATCTGGGTTTGCTCCGTGTCCAAGCTCATCCCACAGTGAGGTGACAGGCTTATAAATAAACACATTTTTGTAACAAAGCTAATAAAAAGGGGGATAATGATGTTCTAAGTTATGCTAACAAATTATTTCATTATGGTTCAACAAATATAGACCAGAAATAATAATAAACTAAACATTTCAGTCATTTTTAAGCAAAAGTGCTGAAAATGATTAGATCTCTGATTTCAGCTTCTATCATGATTATTATATAATGATATATATATATGTGTTTTATTTATATTTATATATATATATATATATATATATAGTAATAAAAAGACATTCATTTCATTTGACAGTTCAGATTGATTTAAATAAAATTGAAGATTGGCTGAAGCTATGTACAGAGAAGTATAACTACAACAGATTTTATTTAAAATTAAAATATTCATTTTGAATTTGGGAGTTTACCCATCTCTTTACAAGAGTACAACATACTGTTGCATTTATCTGCCACCATTAGACACCCATTACACCAACTCCACCACAGGGGGGCAGTGTCATACCATTGTTTCTCTCTGGCAAACTGACGGTGAAGCTCAGTTGTATAGTCACTTCATACCTGTCCCCATAGCAGAGAGCCAAAGCCTAAGAAAGTGCACCATAGCCAGTGGTCGAGGCTCAGAGCCACGCAGCTGAACGGCTTCCCACCAAACTGCACTATGACGATCTGGAGAAGCAGGAAGAGGCGGAATTCATTAGAGAGCAATCTTTGAGATTCACATTTAGAGGTTGCAAGTCTCAGGGACTGATCATGTTTCTTTGCAGTATGAGTCACCAAGCAGATTTACAAAAAAAAGATATAAGCCGAAATATGCCTGTGTACTTTACCTGGATAATGAAGGTACCAAAGACAATACTACAGAAGATGAGGTTGTTGAAGATGCCTTCAAAGACATTCCTTTCACCATGGATTTTGCGGGCATTGATCTCGTTGAAAAGCTGCATCAGTACAAAGGTATTGAAGACAATGGTGTAGTGTTCAGAGGGTCCAGCGTGGAGCGGTGCATTCCTGCCGCTGTCGATATCAAAGATTTTCTCTCCTACAGGAGCAGTCAGAGACAATGTGTTCAAATAAACGGACGGATTTACACAACAAGTCCACATGCTGTGCACCCTGGATGGGTTCTTACCGGCAAAGAGCAGAGTGAAGATGGTGATTAGCTGGAACACTCCCTGACCCAGGATGTTCTTCATCATGGTGCGGGAGATGAGAGGCTTGTTGCGGCCATATGGCTTCCTAAGCAGCAGGGCTTCTGTAGGGGGCTCCGTGGCCAGGGCAAGTGAAGCAAAAGTGTCCATGATGAGGTTGACCCATAACATCTGGACTGCTTTCAGTGGAGAGTCCTGGAGGCAGAGAGAGGCATCACATTATGTTGAGAAGGGGGGAGAGAGGGAGGAATGAACTGGAATTACTTCCTCTCGGTTGAATGCCTCCGCCTACCAGTCCAGCTGCAGTTTATAGCCATGTCCGTGCAAAATGTCATCACTTCATCATTTTATCCTATTTGAAATGTGTGTGAAATTGTCTTAATTAGCACATGCGTTTGAGTGAAGCCCACAAACTTGATCTTTGACCATCAAATTATGTTTAATAACATTCAAATAATCCATCTATCAGTCACACATAGGATCAAATCTCTAACCCCATGGAAATACGACACATACATTAAATAGATTTTAACTGACGTGAACCAAATAGCAATGTATGCCCTTGTCTGCAGCACAACTGTCAGTTATTTGGTTTCCGTACACAAATGTAAATGGTATAACTGATGAAGGTTTATTGCCACAGGGCAGGCTTGTTATGGAAATTAAGACTATTTCTGGGGAATATATTGAATATTTAAGATAGATCTGCAATCTTCTGGCTGAGATACAAAAGATGATATTAAAATCACTGCATTAGGCTGCAGTGCCCAGCTTATCTTGACTACCAAACAGAGACAAAATAAAAGTCATTTCACATGCACAAAATAGAGACAACATTTTGCCACTTTGATGGTGTAAAATAAAAATCACATCACACCCTGTGTTTCCCCTCAGATGTCCTAGCTGGATCTTCACAAGGTCATATTTTCACTCCGTTAAAGTGTGAACCAGTGAAGAAACGTTTAGGTCAACCACCTTCATGCTCGAGACCAATGCGTTTTCTTTTATATTAACTCTGTTGGTGCTGACCTGTGTGATGCAGGCTCCTGTGAATGCTACGATGACAGCCACCACGTTGACAGTTAGCTGAAACTGGAGGAACTTGGAGATGCTGTCGTAGACGTTCCGCCCCCACATGACGGCCTTGACGATGCTGGAGAAATTGTCGTCAGTCAGGATGATGTCAGAGGCCTCCTTAGCTACATCTGTACCGGCAATACCCTGGAGACAAAGAAAGATGATGCTCAAGAATCTGCCTGCATCTGATCACAATATATAAACATTCTAATATAACCAATAACCAATAAATGTAATATTAACATCTTCAAGTAATAGACCCTCTTTTTAAGTCTTATTAAAGATAGCAAAACTCACCATGGCAAAGCCGACATCAGCTTTCTTCAAGGCGGGACCATCATTGGTACCATCTCCTGTCACGGCTACTACTTGTCTTTTTTCTAACACTGTGCTGTCAATAATACCTAGATAAAAGTATAACATACATTTTCAGAATAATCCTTGAAAACAACAAACTAGTAACAGCAAAATATTTAGCTCAGACCAGAATAACCGATTTACCTTTCACTAGGGTGTGTTTGTCTGTGGGGGAAGAGCGTGCCAGTACTCGTAGTTTGGGCCAGATCTTGTCAATGCGCTCTTGTTCGATCTAGAAACATGAGAAAATAGAATCCTGATAGAATCCCAAAAGCAGCATTTTCAACTGTCAATTTTGAGGTCAAGTAATTTGCTGCCGAGGCCCACCTCTCCTTTCTCATTGCGTATCCTTCGGTTGAACTCTTTTCCCTCTATGCAGATGAAGTCGTCTCCGGGCAGTAGGATGCCACACTTGGTGGCGATGGCTCGAGCTGTGTTGATGTTGTCCCCAGTCACCATCCGCACTGTGATACCGGCGCGCTGGCATTTCTTGATGGCATCTGGGACCTGCAGGAAAGTGGAAACACAATGAACGAGTAATGCATATCACACTGATATTAAAATTTAATTTCAGGTTTTGTGAGTCGGTCATTGGCTATGTTCAACTACGGATCTATACGCAGCTATTATCTTATTTTCTAGGTTTTGTGAGGTTTAAATTCATAGAGTGACTATATGCTGCAGTCTCAATGCTTGTAGTAAGCTCCCTTCAAACCACAAGCAAATCTTTCCAGCACACGTTGTGTGTGTACCACCTGCCCAGCAAAAACTGGCAAAAAGCCAAAACAAATGAGAAGGACTTAAGAAGATCATCTAGCAAGAGCTAATGACCCAGTTCCAGGGCTCTCGACTAACTTTTTTCACCATCCTCCCGGAACCGTCCCGAAATACAATCTAAGCCGTCCCGAAATTAATGTGGACCGTCCCGAATTTAAAATATTAGTTTTTCTACATTGTCATTAGTTAAAATCATTCAAAGTGACCTTTAACATAAATAAAACATCATACAAATCATTAGATGATAATTCATCAACCTTATTGTGCCCCAACAATTTGGAACAAACTGCCTAAATCATGCACGTCCGCCGAAACACTTCCTATTTTTAAATCCCGACTAAAAACGCACCCATTTGCCGCTGCTTTTAATTGAGCTGCCCATACTCACACTACAGTATGCCTTTTCAGGCATGTATTCTGTACCTGCTGTGTTTATTTATTTCATTTATTTCATTACCTTTGCTTATTATGCCTGTTCTTAAATGCCTTTTTAATAATGTATTTGTGCTGTATTTCTTAAATGTCGTTTGCTTTTAATCTGTAAAGCACTTTGAATCGCCACGTGCTGAAAAGCGCTATATAAATAAAATTGCCTTGCCTTTTTATTTGAGTAAATCAGTCAAACACATAAACAAAGGCCAAATATATTTAAAAAAAACACAAACGAGAAAGTTACTCTAATATTAAATCCAATCAAGTCCCATCCAATTAACAACAAATCCAACACTGTCCAGAAGACAGAACCCAGAGTAACCACTAACCAGGATGACAGTCTGTAACACAGTCAGGAGACCTTTACAAACTGCCCGCCCCCTCGCACACAGACGGGAGAGAGAGATCTCGTCTGGATTGGAAAGATCGAAAATACATCATAGACGCATTTTGTAGTCTTATTGCATATTAGAAACGGAGTTGGTGAAACTAAAACTGCGATATAATGTGTATGTAGCAATAATACATATGACATATTTTTTTAAATGTCTCCAGTACCGATAAAAAGTCTGATAACGTCGGAGCTTAACGTTACCACTGTCTTTAATAATTCCGGCCCGTTTAATACCGGGGCTCGGTACCCATCCCTACATGGGGAGAGGCGCAGCATATTGCTAAGGACTAAATACGATGGAGAGTTCTCATCTCAGCCTTATTACCCATAGGGGATGAAGAGGAGTAAGTAAATAAAGAGGCCGGCGCTCCAGGGTCTGGTTCTGCTGTGCGTTTTCGCGATGTAACGGTAACAAATTGCAGAATTCCTCCATGGGATGCCATTGTACATCACTCAACCCGCGAAATACACACACTCAGTACATAGCTAGACCCGCAAATTCGCGGGCCAGGAATTTGCGGGCACAGCTGTAGCTACGTACTCTGTGTGTGTGTGTGTATTTCGCGGGTTGCTAAATGTTTTGTGTGTTTATGTTGACAAGGACTGGAGGCTTAATAACTGTGTGCTACACAAAACGTGCTGTCAGTTTCATTTTCATCGCCGTTCGTAGTAGAGTTAGGAGGGTATTTTATTTTAACTCTCGTCCCAAATTCGCCCCAAAATTATTTTTTATCCTCCCCGACCCTATTTTTTTCGGCCACGGGACGATGGGACGTCCTTACGCTCGAGCCCTGCCCAGTTCCATTTCGAACCTCCATTTAGTTGTCTCACTGTGGAACCACTCCCTCAAAAGCCTCAATATCATTATCTAAAATGGCTGATGCAGCATCTCCTGTCAGTCAATTGTCTTGCTTTACTCCGAAAGCCTGAGTGTTAAACAGCACACAAGAGCAAGCTAACCCATTAAGCTGCCAGGATGCTTCATCAGAAGTGCTTTCCTGATGGTCAAATAGCTCTGGAACCCCCCCGTTCCCTCCCACCCACACCTTTCTGCGGTGTAACAGAGGAGTAAAATGGTTCCTGTAACTTAACAAGACAGGAACTCATAACCGTTGGCCATCTGTGCGGAGGTTAGAAAGGCATAAGAGTTTGTTCTTCTCTCTGTAGCCTTCTATTTTTAATCTCAACACAGAGCTAATTCCATCAATGTGTGCAACACTACATATGCCTTCCAGGAAAGAATAAAAATGAAGCCCAATATTTAAATAACGTCGCATCTCACCCACTCTCTATGACGACTGGCTTTTACGCAGACTCTTTGGATCAGGTATAAACAACTTTGCTTCCTGATATAGCCGGATAACACTGTAGTTTAATCTAGAAATGTCCAGCATAACTGGATCCAAGGGCATAAAGTGCTAGCACATTGAATACAAGTGATGAAGATAACTGTTCCCCTTATTAAAGCAAAGCCTTTTCATGTAGGAAATTACGTTCTCTCTGTTTAAATTAGAACAAGTGTTATGTCCCCTCTTGCTGATGTGTGTGAAGCCACTAACCTCGGGTCTCACGGGGTCTTCAATGCCCACCACGCTGAGGCAGGTTAGTCCACTGAGAATATCATTCTCATTGTCCCAGTCAGGCTCCCCCTCAGAGACAGGGAAGTCTCTGTATGCCAGGCATATGGTCCTCAGGCCCTCTGAGGCCATGGGCTCGATCACTTTCTTCACCATGTCGTCTCTGTCCCGTGGGCGGAACACCTTGGACTCACCATTTGCCGTCATGACTTTATAGCACCTGAAGGAGACGAAAGTTGAGAAATGTTGATTAAGGAGGAGAGGACAAAGAGTTTGAATGGTTAACTGTGGTAGTAAGTAGTCCCTCTAAGCACCCCTGTGGGTTAAAAAGAAGCCTGCTTGGTTAAGAGGCTTACAGAGTTGTTACAGGCTCATTTTCTGAGCGCCTGTTTTTAAATCGCAAAGTAAGGGGCTTGGGTGGGATGCACTTGAACTTCTTAGCTGCTTAAGACATTACACATATCATTTACTGCGAAGACTGGCCAGCTAAAACAAGTACAAATAAATCTATGGAATCATTCTTATGGAAAACACTGGTCATACTTCATATACATTAGTGCATGTCTTTTCAGTAATATAATTCCAACAGAAGACAGATATTAACGTAAACCCTAAAATGCCAACATAAAAAAATGTATCTTACTTTTTTAGGAGAATTTCTGAGGCCCCTTTGCTGAACATACGGAAGCTGCCATCAGCCATTTTCAACACGGTGCTCATGGACTTGCGGACCGAGTTAAAGGTGTAGACTTTGTAGAGTTTCTCCTCAGGGATCTCGTTGCGTATGGTCTGGTAGTCGCGCTTCAAGTCATTGGAAAAACCAAGCAAGGAACATTCAGTCTTGTTACCAACTTGCCGTGGCAGGCCGCCTTCTTTCTCTGGAGGCTGAGAGAAAAGGTAGAAGACAGTTAGTATTTGCTAAAGCCAAATAGGACACTGCAATAGGCTGTACCAAAGAGTTAAAAACATTCATAACGCTATTAATCATATCCAAAAACAAAAAAGTGTATTGGTACCAGGTATTTCTGCACAGTTGTGGATAAAGATGACATCAATATATTAATGTTATAGATCTCAGCTGTGCAAGACTCTTGCAAACCAAACATTTATGTTGGCCACGATGGGTAGTGCAATAGGTCGCCATTGTCAGTATGTGCGTCTGTGTATTGTGTTTGTTCAAACGGTGTATGACTGATGATATGTGTATGTCTCTTAATGTCCACTATGTTTGTATATGTACATGTATGCGGAACTGCAGGACGGAGTCCAGAACAAATGTCCTTACGGGGACAATAAAGTATATCGTATCGTATTTACAATATTACCAAAATGCATCTATTGAAAAAACATAGATGTCACTATTTCCGAAATGCCCTATTTTTTTCCTTGTGAAATATTATGCTTCAATCTATATTATCTTTGCATTTAAAAAATGAAATGTTTTTCTGCAGCACAAACAAATTTAATTTATTTTTTACTTTTGAGGATAATGATGTCATAAACATTTAAAAAACCCTCAACATTAGCTTAAAATGTAAACGACATTTGGTACAGCTCTACAAGACAATATTCATGGTGGCATAATGTTTTATAAGACATTTGGTCAGACCTACCATGATCTTAGTAGTGTATGCGCAGTTGACAGCGATGCCCAGAATTAGAATGTCTAGAATGGAGGAGGGGATGTTCTCTGGCTCAGGGACCTTCTTGTAGTGCTTCTCCCCGATGAAGGCTTGCACCACAGTCATGCGGTTCATGGTGAGTGTTCCTGTTTTGTCAGAGCAGATGGCGGTAGCATTGCCCATAGTCTCACAGGCATCCAAATGCCGTACCAGGTTGTTGTCTTTCATCATTTTCTGTAGAAAACAATACATCCAATGATTAAACACAACTTAATTCAGCATGACTAGGGGAAAATGTATCTGAACCAGAGGTGGCGCAAGACTTTTTCACTGCCCGTCATTTTGACGGACAGGATCGTAACATTTTCGTCAAAATCCATTATTATTATTATATGTCTACTCTGTACACGACTGATTTTTCCAGAACATAACTTTAATTTGAGTGACAACATTTATTTTTAAAGGCTGCAAGATTTAAAAGATGAAGCCCTCTGTTGGCTAACAGATTCAGCACAGGGATCATAGCTTGGCTTTAGGGTATCAAATGGCCAAGTCTCCTTGTCTAACAGCCTGGCCTGCTAGCTTTAATAGGCTAAAGTGTAAGCAGGTCAGCACTGGCCACAGGTCACTTGGCTAGCAGACTTTACCTTAACAGAGTATGCCAGGGAAATTGTTACAGCCAGAGGCAGGCCTTCAGGAACAGCAACCACCAGGACAGTGACGCCAATGATGAAGAATTTCACGAAGAACTGAATGTAAATGGGTGTGCAGTCCTTGACCCAAGGAAGATTCTGGATCCAGAAGGTGTCTACTACAAACAGCACCACCAGGATGATGACAGTGATGGCAGACATAACCAGTCCTGAGGAGAATAAGAGACAAGGAAGATAGAGATTGACCAATCAATCATAAAACGGTTAGATCGAATTTTGGATGTGCAAAACAAAATGGCAGACAATCAGGAGACACAAAGCTATGTAGCATGTTTGCAGGAATCCAAGGTTTTTCTCACCTGCTTTTCCAATCTGTACGGCTAGCTTGGTCAGTTTTCCCTGGAGAACAGACTTCTCTTTCTTCGACGTGTTGGATTTCTTCCTCTCCTCTGCATCAGCTTCCTCACTGTTCAGGGGCTGCATTTCCATCGCAGCACCATCCTGTGCTTTAGCTGCAGCAAAGGACAAGAACTATTTAAAAACGACCTGGCAGTTACACCTTACCGCCGTTTCATTTTAGTGTTGTAAATTCTTATGTGTTCAATGTCTACATGCCAGTCCACATATTCATTTGAAAACGTTTTTGGTTTAAACAGTGTCCCAGCACTTTGTTTATGTATTTGTCTTATCTGGAACACATTACTGACCAAATTCATATTCATTATATATTCATTAGAAATTCAGATATTCAAGAAGATACCAGGATTTGTGTCTTTCAGTTGTGACAAATCAGCATAACCCAAAGAACACAGGAGATGCAATGTGTAATCAGGCACCACATGAAGCCTCTTTCGATTTGCTTACATTTGCATGAACTGAGGTAAAAACGCTGCTAACCAGTGAATGAATAAACTGTAGGAAGTCAAATAACACAGACTTCAGTTATTTGATTATCTAATTTAGCTGCCAACTACTCACAGCAAGTTGCTTCAGAACAGCATTACAAGAAGCATCATGAAAAACACTATATTTAAAGATAATAGATTAAATCAAGAGCGACTGCCAAGAGCAAAATGGATGTCAAATTAGCATGTTTTTTTGTTGCTTTCCTTTTATCTATGGAACTTGGGAAATGTCACTGCAATTATGTTTGCCGTGGTCTGACCGCACAGTAATTAACTGGAAGATTTGGTAGAGTAATTAGCATACTCCCACCTTTAGAGATTTAAAGAACAGGTTAACTAGCAAATAGCATTCAGATCTGTCAGAGGAATTCAATCCTCCTTCGACAGCAACTCCTGTGGCCAGTTACATTCCCTTAAATCTCTTTCATCTCTTCCCCAACATCCCTCCGGACCCCCCTCCCTTGCACAAAGAACTGACAGGAATCCCAAACCCACGTCTAACCAGGTAACCTTGGAAACGCAAAGCCTCTAATGGCAGAGGAGGGAGGAGAGACAGCCGGCAGGCCAGCAGGGGCAGGTCTCTGCGTGTCACTCCTCATGATAAAATCATTAGCTCCGCCGGGCACTGGCGCTAGAACTGCTGCTAAAGGACAACTGACACATTTCCAATCTCCTCTTAATATCATTACTATCTGGGTGTCAATTCTGCAACGTTGCTTTGTATGAGCAGATGCAGTCCTTTTCCAATTGCTCTATGCTTAAAGCTCTTTTTTACTATGACGTAGACAGTAGTATTGTGTGTGGATGTATGCAGCAGGAAGAGGAGGGGAATTAACGCTGGGCTACTGCAGCTGCTGTGGACTGTGGCTTGTTCTGCTCTTACATGGCCTGTGTAATCTCAGTCTAAAGGATTACTGTTGATTCCTGGCAGGCAGAGGGAATCTGTGCACCAGGGACTAGCGCCAGGGTTGTGGTCACAGACCCAAGCAAACTGATCAGTGTCCCAGCCCGAGAACACAAGCCCAGCTAGCTGGCTGAGCCACCACTAAACAGCCTTATCATCCTTGTTGTAAGGCGGAAAATCCTTACAGTTTGACTCTAAATTGTTCAGATTGGTACATCAATATAGATCAAATTGTGGGGGCCTGAGGAAAAGTCAGAGAGAGAACGATGGGTGGGAAAGCAGATGTTCTGGCTCCAGAATTGTTGCATGGCTTTAATCTCCTCATCACTAATCGCTATAACTGGATTCAGTAGCACCTGCTGCTCAAAGCCCAATGTGCCAGGCAAGGCAGCACAATGGATACAGCCAGTATCAAGAGTAAACGGGGACATGCAAGAATGTGCAACTCCTCATTACTTGCAAAAAAAATACACTGCAGCAAACTATTAACAAATTGATGCTTTGACTTACATCGCTGTTAAATGTAAAGAGGAAAAAGGCTAAAAACTTCAAATGTAGATGCTAATCTGTAAGGATAATATATGGTTGTAATAGTGTTTGTAATATGTGTGTGTGTGTGTGTGTGTGTGTGCGTGTGTGTGTGTGTGCAACTTACCTTTCTTACGATTCTCCGCCGCTCCCTCCTGCTTCTTGTCTGTTACAAAATAATACATTGTATGCTAAGTAAAAACAAACTGCTGAACAATACACAGTATCTGCACTTTAAACTACTATTGTAACCTAGCATGCTTGTATATTATGTATATAGGTATGTCTATTTTTGTGATTCAAAATTGCCGCAACAAAAAAAACGCTGCTGTGATTTTATTAAATAGAAATAATACAACCACTTTGAGTGTTAACTTGGGTTGTTGGAAATTATTTTCAAATATTTGTTCAGATTAAATCGATAATAAAAATCATTTGAAGTGAGTTAATCTCCTACAATCCAGCCCTGGATCTCAAATCTGCTGCTGTGCTTCTAAAAAGGCACATCTAACTTGTGAAACAATCTTTTGTTCTTTGTCCACATGCAACTTTGTTAAGTCAGCTACTCTTTCCACACTGGCCTGCTGCTTTCAATATAAAACATTCTGAATGCAAGATGAGGAAATCTTTATACGAGATGCAAACTGTAGGTACAAAATGTAAATATCTATTCAAATGTGAACAACAGAACAGTTGGGATACTAACTTTTTCTCTGTTTCTTCTTCTCCTCTTTTTCCTTTTTCTTTTCTTCTTCTTCTTCCTCATCATCCTCGGCGCTCCCAAGTAAAGTGAAGATAATTCCAGTTTGAGAGTTGACCCCTATAGCCGTAACCAACATTTTCCCTGAGCCTTCCATTACATGGGTGCCTTTGGACAGAGGAGGAAAATAAAACGTTGGTCAATAAGGAAGGGAGGGGAAGGGTATGTAAAGAATCTGACTAAATGATTCTTTACTTGGGCGGGCTGCCCAGGTTTATTATCTTATCTGTCCGCGAGCACGACGCCATCTGCGATCGATTAACTAGTGGACAATGAGCCCTCGCTCTACGCCTCCTGTACCTGTTCGCTCTGCTATCGCGTGAAGGGTCTGCTAACAAGCCACCAACAGAAAGGGAGACCTTACTTACATACACTGCTTTTTCAGAGCAGTGTGTGTGCATCAGAACAGTGTGTGCCCGGCTACCACCACAAGTATATTTCAGATCTGTTGGAAACACTGTTTTGCAGCTCTAACGCTGACTAATCATATCTGTAACTTGACCTTATCATTTTGGTTCAGACTAAATGCTGAGCTGGATTTCTTTGCTTTCTGAGAAAGAAATGTGGTTTAAGCAGCTTTTAAGTGGCCATCTACACACAAGAAGGAGAACCTTAATGCCGGTTTTCAATTGGCGGCAATAAATACAAAGGAATGGTGCGTTTGCAAGTAAAAAGACAGAGAAACACAATCACTGCTGCGAAAATCCTCCAAATCATTATTCAACAGCCTTTAATCAAAAGCCAATTGTCAGTGTCGGCGAAATTAATGAATCTGAAAGGCTACAAAAGGGTTTCTCTAGAGATCTCTGGGTCTCCATCCCTCTCTGACGACAGTAACATCTTATTGATTTCAACAAGCAAAACAAGTCAGAGGAAAACCGAGTGAAACAGAGCAGGAGAGTGGAAAGTAAAAAGCGTTAAACAGTTCTCTCACGCCTCTGTTAATAAGAGGATGCTTTCCTTCAATTCGTGAGTGATTGCAGAAGGGATACAGCCTGTGCTAAGGGACAGTTAAAAAGCAGTGGGGGAGACACACACACACACACACTCATTTGGAGGTATGCCAGTGCAAGCCAGATGAACTAAACAAGAAGTGTTTCTTCAGGATCCCTACACACTTCTTCTGGGATCTGAGTGAAAACAAAGCTATGCGACAGCACAAACAGTGTTAAAGGGGCTTTGTGCTCATGGAGTCTTGACACACACAAACTGAACTCAATTACTGGTTTACATCTGGAGTTTTGAAAAGCTGCTAATTGATTACACTGAGCAGCAGGATAAGGACACTAGTTCACTTTCATTTCTAACCCAGTTTGTTACCAAAGACATACACCTTAGCATTACAAATTTGAATGTAGATTTAAATGTAAGTGTCAAGATAGTACAGTCCGATGGTCTCACTGACAACATGCCTCAGTCTAGCATAGGTCCTTCAAGAAACTGAGGATAGCAGATACAATTATAAAAACATGATGAAATTGATTAAAAAGACTATCTATCATTTAACTAAATAAAGACTGTAATTGTAAATGTTTTGCCTCGGTAGGACGTATAAAGGAATTCTGATTGGAGCCACACATAGCCAGACTTTAAAGATGATGTGTATTGTATTATTGAAACTGTTAGGGAAATAATTGTCCGAGACTCCTAGATATGACGTGCATGACCAACCCTGACGTCTGTCATCTCCTTTAAGGAGATGGGCTGCTTCAGCCATAATGTTGTTGTTCCCATTCTATGACCGGGCAACCCTCGGTCACAGATGGTTTATTGTTGTGGGTACACTGGGACACTTCCTTCTCTGTGTTTGTGGACTCCAAGGTGTGAAATCTTTGAGGCCATAAGTGTCAGACGCAAGTAACTCAGTGTTCCCAACTGTTTAGGCTATCTTCTCAAATATGTTGATGACTCTCTGTGAAACCAGTTAAATGGGCTAACGAGAGAGAGGCGCTCCAGATTTGACGTGGCAACTCTACCGTGAAGTCAGAACCTCTGGCTCTTGGACTTGTGATGTGAATTCTCCAGCCGAAGCTCCAAATAAACCATCAGTGTTTGACATCAAAGCTCCTGCTCTTCCCGTGTCTCTTTCCTGAGTCGGTGACTCCCACTGCATTGCTGCTACACAGAAGTTTCCCTCACAGAAACCAACTAAGCTCAGTCAGTTTCGCAGATGTCTTCATTTCAATTTCCAAATAAATCTAAATAAAATAAATCTAAATAAAGCTCCGGCTGCATGTTACCTGATAAGAGCATGGGATCTTTTTCTAGTGTTTTCTTGACAAGGTCCGACTCCCCTGTGAGGGAGCTCTCATCGATCTTCAGATCATTGCCTTGGATGAGAACCCCGTCAGAAGGCAAAAGATCACCTGAAACACACAGACAAAGCGCATCGTTCACTTTGAGGAACAATAGTTTACAAACAAATCTGAAATTGTTTTATTGAATAAATCTTTGATTATATGGTATTCATTCTGAGTATTATCTATGCAACATGTTTGTTAAATTAAATAACTTCTATAACAAATCATTGTCTCTTCTTACCATATTTTATTTGTGCAACGTCGCCGACCACGATCTCAGCCACAGGAATTTGGATGACTTGTCCTCCACGGACGACAGTAAATTTCTGTTCCTGCTCGATGCGGCTCTGGAGGCCCCTAAACTGCTTCTCTTTACTCCAGTCATTGAAGGCTGTCACCAGCACCACACAGATAACAGACAGAAGAATGGCTGCGCCCTCGATCCAGCCCGCTTCTGACTCAGTTTCATCCTCAACACCGCCAGCTGCCCTTCCACAGTCTGCAGAGGGACAGGGGACATGTTAATATAGCTTCACCTACAACTCTCAGATAAATCCACACAGATAAATTAACGACAGACCAGCAACCAATAAATATGTGTTTAACATATACCCTATATACTTGTACATAACAGTACATGAGCATAGAATAACAAAATAAATGGAAACTGTAAAGAAGTGTTGCTTACTTTCTCTATCGGCATCTGGAGGTCTATAAAAAGAAAGGCCTAGTGAAACTATGGCTGCCACTTCTAGAATAATCAGTGTGACATCCTGTAGCGCCTCCCACACTAACTGTAAGAAAGTTTTGGGCTTTTTGGGCGGTATCAAATTTTCCCCAAACACTGTTTTCCGCTTCTCGATGTCTCCAGGCTGTCCACTTAGACCTGAGGAGGGAAAGACACAGAACAAAAGCATTTCATTTGTTATATTTTCATTTGAAATGTTTCTTGGAATGTAATGTAAGACTTAAAACATCAAAAAGAGCATTAATCATGTGCTGTGGATGCATTACTGTGGACGTTTAGTTCAGAGGAGGAGAATCTCTATAACGTAAAAGCCAGTAAGCTGTACTCTTTTCACTGGGCCTCTAAAAACATTATACCTAAAAAGGAATCAGCATTTAGACCGGACACAGAGGAGGCGACAATGCTCGACAACAATGACACACATTCTGTGGGCATGTCTAACATTTCACCTCTTTCAGGCATGTTAGAACAATGGGAGAACAATAGAGGTCAAATCTAATCCCATTACCTGTTTTGAAATACAATGAACGACTGACTGGAGAGTATGACCTACTGTGCCGTTATAGTCATCTCTCTGACACATCACACGCTGCTTGGCCAGAGAGCCATTCATCTGTGTGCACAGAGAGCCCCGCATTCAAATGCCTCCACATTCAAGGCCGAGTTGTATATTCAAAAAGGGCCTTCGCACATTTGATGATGCACGACACTTTTTCAGTTCTATTCATGCTGTGCGGACTGACTGTGTGGGGGTGGCTCTGGAGACTTTATGGAGCTGCGTGTGGCGGAGGATTGGGGGCCATGGAAGAGTGACATTGTGAAACAGCTACTGACAGGAAAATGGGGATGAGTGGAGGGTGATGGGGACTGAGACTAATAAAGAGTGGAGGTATTGACAGATAGAGGGAAGCTGCACTGGTCTTAATAGGAAAAAGGATCAGAAGGGTCAACATATGGAGAAACGGACAGACATATAGATAGAAGGACGGCTACAAACAGGCTAGAGGAACAATGCAAACCATGACACCACATTTGGATAATGAGTCTGTGCCGTGACAACAGCTCAGAGAGAAAGGCACACTGTTTGTCAGCCAATAAGACAATTCTCCATTACAAACGCTGTCAAAACACACCACTGATGGTGTAAACTGAAGTAGAGAGTTGAAGAACTGAAAAATGTGACATTTTTCAAGCAATAATCCTCCAGTTCTAGTTCCTCTAATGTGAAGATGGTTTGATTTTCTTTGTTATACGAGAGTGAACTAAATAACTTTGGGTTTTTGACTGTTGGTGAATATAAAAAGCAACATGAATGCATTTGCTTTGGCATTATGAAATTCTAACAGCCTTTTTGACTATCTTCTGACATCTTGAAGGCAACACAGCAGATTCATGAATAATGAAAATAAGTGTTACTGTTAGTTGCTAGACTGCGCTGAGAAAGACAGGTCTAAAACAGCTTCATTAAATCATTAGTAGAATGTGTTCATTTATCAAACAACCTGTAATTTGTATTGTTCCTGCAGTGTAATAACATATCTACTAGGGGTGTAACGGTTCACAGAAGTCACGGTTCGGTTCGTACCTCGGTTTGGGGGTCACGGTTCGGTACGGGTTCGTTACAACAAGAAAAAGCAAAAAAAAGTCCCAAATGCATTATTCCAGGTTTGTTGTTATTTATGTTTGAACAGTAGTGCAAGTTTCAGTTTAAAAATAAGGAACTCTGACATTTTGAATAATTAACTGTATAAAACCATACACAGTACACTCAGATGGCCATATTATCTATAATGGCTGATGTCAAACAAAAAGGTTTCATCAAGCTGTAAAACTAAAAAGAATGTCTTGAAAATATGACATCATAAATAATAAGAAAGTGTTTCAAGAGCGCAAAGTCGTTGAAAAACATATGCCAAAAGCTTCCGTTATCTATTTTGGTCTCTCGGCTTTCATGTCTATTGGCTTCTTAAAAACAGCGTTGAACTGCTGCTGTCTTTTGCCGGGCTCCGGTGATTGGCAAATCTGGGTAATGCCTTCTGATATGATTTAGCATGTTTGGCGTGTGTTACCATTAGCATACCGCACCGCTGTCGAGCCACGCCGACACACCGTTCTCGTCCGATCCACCACTGGTACACTCCATCGTTATTGTAGTCCACAGGGAACCCGACATGTTCCCACACAGCTAATTTAAAAGAAGCAGGTGGGTTCTAGCTCCTGTGTGTTATCTGAAATCGCCATACTAACTTTTCTTCTTCTTGTATTTTGTTCGTTTTGTTGTTGTGTTTCTTCTTGTTCTTCATTTGTTGTTTAAGGGCGGCTGGCAAACAGCTTTTAGGCGCAATACCGCCCCCTGGATTATATATAGTGTAATGGATACTGCACTGAATGACAGACTTTTTTCCCACTCGTAAAAAAAAGGCGTATTCGTCGTGGACTACATGTGCCGAACCGTGACGGTACGGGACGAATACGGATACCGTCACACCACTAATATCTACACAATGTGCTGATTGTTCTTTCTTGTGAAATATAAGAGCACTGGAAAAACATCAATTAACTAAATATTATTACAACCCATAATCTGTGGGATTTTCTGATATTCTACAGAAATGGCAATCAACTTCATCTTTTGTTCCACTTCTCTCTTTTAGGCACTGTAAAGTCAAACACATGTTTTAACTAAATAACATTTCCCATCCCAAAGAGCTGTTCAAACACAGCCACTGCAGTAAGACGGATAATTTTAGGGATGTTATGGTAGGTTGTTAAATCAGTGTTAAATCCTGTCATACAAAATGGTTTTGTTGGTTACCACTTTTCAATTAAATAGATCATTATATTGACCAGTCTAATTGGATGCTAATACAGCAATAATGGTAAAGTACAGATATGTTGTTACCAATCAAAATCATATGAAAATGTCCCTAAAACAATTATCACAGTTAAATAATTTCCATCAATTTACCAGACTGGTGCAAGTTGTCTACGATCATGTATACAGATCTAGTTCAATTAAAAATATTATATTTCTTTACCCATTTCTGAATTAAAACGAGTTTTGGTGTACTTAATCAAAGACAAATAAATCCTTAAGTAATTGTCATTACAATTTCAAACTATCGCATATTTTTCTAAAAAGGGGAGTGAGAAGAGTGAGGATGACTCACCGGCACAGCGCTTTAAAAAGGGTTACAGGGTTTATCCTGTCGCTGCTCCCTGGCTGTCTCTCACCGTCTGCTTTGATTCTCTACACCTCTAATGAAAACATGCTGACAGCTAATACCCTATTCAATTTTACAGCACAATTTCCCTTTGCATGATAGCAATAAACACAAGTGACAGAGGACGATCAAGACGTCGACCTTCCATTGGATACACAAACAGAAAATAGGCTGGCCCTGGCCCCTCACATCATTTCAGCACCCTGAGTGTGTCTCAAGTCAAGCAGCTAATCATTAACCATTTAATTTGGACGCTTGTCCCTGGCTGACCCCTCTGAGTTCTGTCCATTCAGCCAGCAGTGAGGGTCAGGGCAAGCCTTCACTCTGGGTCCGTCTCGATCAAAGGAAACAGGCTTTCTACAACCTTTGTGTAACTGAGTATGCAGAGATGCAGCAACACACCCTCTAGTTAGTACAATCAGAAATCACAAATAATAAACATTTCATGCACAGAATACCCTGCTTTGTATAACAAAAAGCAGCATGGGGAGATTTCTGGTTATGTTAATATGATATTAAGCTAATCAGAGTGTAAGGATTATTGGATTATGGGATTTCCATAACTGCTACTCAAGTTATAGAATTGCTTTTATCGTGTAAAAACGAGAGTATATGGCTTTACACAAAAGTTACCAAGAAGGAAGAACTGATAGAGGAAAAAGCGCTTTCTATTTTTAAATATTTCGTTTACCAAGTGAAACAACAAAACTGTGCAGCACCAAGAGACAATTGAGTTTACTCAAATACTAAAGGGTCACAATAGGGGTAATCTCCCAATTTTGCTGCTATATTTGAAAACTACTTGAATTCTATCAAATATATTTTACCTTCATTAGCTACCCTTAATTACTTCTCAATACTGCTTTCCCATGTATAGGTGATTAGGGCAGTTTGTGTGTAGTTGCAGAGAAGCAGATTCTGAGCTAATAAGCAGGGCTTTGCTCAACAAATGGAGCAATAGTGCAGCACCCTAATTACTATAGCACGGTCATTTCCCCACCAAAAATAGCCATGGATTTTTATCACCATGCCATTTTATACTCTTCAAATCAATATCATGCCACAGGGGAATTCTGTAAAGACCACTGAATAAGAAAATGCTCTACCTGGAAAGCTATATTGGAGAAGCAGGCTAGACTACGGACCATGGCAGAGTATCTATAAAACAACTAAATATCTGACTTGTATGTACCGTATAGTACCATCATTTATACCTAATAGGGGAATACACATGAGGTTTTAATGTAATTAGTACAGTACTTCGCAGCCGTAGGTTCTAAAAATCACCAAAACGAATTGCCGCAATCTAGGACACCCGTTACCATTGTTAATAACTCAATACAGGAAAAAGGCTGTATTGTTCCCACAAATCATAGCTTTCAATCCAAAGACTACAGCTAGATCAGCAGCACCCAGTGAACAGCTCCACCAACAGAAGCAGGGCCTAGCCATATGCTACATTCACTCTCTGGCTAAAGCCTATTTAAGCGCATCATTTTAAAATCGGACATGAAGGCAAGCAACGCCAGCCCTATGTAGAGTAAACATAATCATTTAACAGTCTAAACCTTCCCATTGAATAAGGGGGTGTGGTGTATCGATGGTAGATACAGAGAGCTTGTCCCCTTTTGTGAATTGCAATCCAATTGTGCAAGCCTCTTAGCCCACAATCAATTTGATCAATAGGCTGGAACCAAAATATTTGACCACGTTAAAATAGCAGTCAACAGGGAATAATGGTGAAAGGGAAAATTGGGGAACATTGTCAATAATATTGATGCGAAGTGGCCTGGTCTATTTGATAAGTCTCATTATGCAGAGGAAATAGTGGATCCCATTGGGAGAAAATAAATGCTGCTGTGTTAGAAGGGTTTGCTAAAGCTATTGATTATATGGCAGTGGCGAGCCGTCAGGGCCCCCTAGGCCCTCTCTGAGGGCCTAAGATATTCTACAAAATAATATTTAAAAACATTAAAAAAAAAATATATATATATATTTTTGGTTATATTTTTCATTAGTTTTAGCAAAATAACTTGATTTAATTGTATTTAAAATAACATTTCCAGAGAAATAAATCCTTCGAATCTGCCTATTCCGTTTCTGTTTGAATGTGAAGGGTTAAATGAAAGAAGCTCCTTGAGCCGTCTCTGCGAGTTACTGTGAAAACAGGAGAAGATTGGTGATTGGCTATAGTAACTGAACGAGAGAGTAATGTCTAATGACAGTACAATTGACCAATCATATCTTCCCTCTAAATGGGTGGGTTTTATTATCACGGACTTTATGACAAGTTCCGCCCGCTGTGAAGCTGTTCTTGTTTCCATAGCAACAACAACTGTCAACAGCGTAAACTCGCCTTCAAAATAAAAGCATGCCAAATTACACTTAAGACATACAACTGCAACGAAAGTAACAAACACAATGCAATATCCTTTTCAATTTCAAAGAACACAAATTGGGTTATTTACAGGTGTTGTTTTGTGTGTTGAGGGTCGCTTTCATTGATGCGTTTTGCACCCCGGGCCGTTGTTTTGATATTCCGCTGAAGTATACTCTGTGACTAATAACTCTTTTTCGAGGGAAGGGGTGGGGGTCAGAGGGCCTAGGTATAAAAGTCACGGCTCGCCACTGTTCTATGGCAGTGGTTCTCAAACTTTTTTCAGCCAAGTACCCCCTGATCAGCGCAAAAACAATTTGCACCATCAGTGTCTGATTTATTAAAACAACAACAGTAACTGAGAAACACTTAAATGCTACATTTCAAATGTTTACAATCCATCACTAAATTCATGGCAAACCAATTTTAACATCAAGCAATAACACTAAGACGACATTAGTTGCATTGAACTGATCTTTTTAATAAGTTGTACTTACAATGTAGTGAAACATGGGCTTGTGCTTCACTGAGGATCTTTGTCATTCTGACAGGGAGGCAAACTGCAGTTATTACACTTGAAATATGTGTAACTCTGTTAATATAAAACCCACACTGCTTAAACTTTGTTACTTTTCCTAAAATTGGTATATTTATTTATTTGGGGCGTGGGGAATGAAGAGAAAAAAGTATATGAGCATTTTATGAGCATGGGATTTTGACCCCTCATATAAACATAAGCCTATGCATAATGCTGCGCTATACTTTGCGGCCACACGCCGTTGCCAAGCAATGCTTATTGCTTAGGTCCTTTGATAAGCAGGCAGTCATATCATTATATATATTATAAAATACTATGATACTGATCTGTTCAATGCTGAGATACTGTGTTAAAAGGATGGGAAAATTATTATAAAAATACTCCAGTGATTTAGTATTGCTCCTACAAATAACCTAGTGCTGAAGAGGGACATATTTAAAAAATGAGAATGGTCACAAATGATGTGGCAAAGGCTCAGATCTCCTGAATCATCAAGAAAGATCTTGAAACATAAGTAGAAGCCATACAGCTAGCTTCGCTTGATGTAAAAGTAACAAGTCCCTCAGCTCTGCGTACCTCCTTTTTTTGTAAATGGAGTTATAGTCAATAAAAAAGCAGCATAAACATAGATCCTACACTGACTGCCATAATGCAAGAGCCCTTTTCATTTGACCATCCCTGCCTAGTAGAGCATCCATGTCTTTTCAACTAAATGCACCGAGTACGTACAGTAATGCAGGCTTCCAGTTCAAATGCGTTATCTCTAAACCCAAGCCAAGGTAACTCTGGTGACACATCACTCGATTTATTTTCGCAGGCTTGACAAAGCATCCTACAAGAGCGAAAGAGAACGTTATACAACTGTTTCCACAAGATGAGTAGTACTCCCCATGACTGATTTTGGTGTAAAAGCACGGACGAGTTCCCCTTTAAATGTTACTAATATTTATATAACCCACTACACAGCTGAAAAAAGAGATTAACAGGGGCGGTAAGCTGAAACTTAAAAAGGTACTTATTTCCTCACAGTTCCTTACTCAACCAGAGTAAGCGCAAGAAAAAAAAGCCTGCATGCATACAGGAAGTAACGCAAAAGTAAATAAGGCCCCGGCAACAGCATTTTGGTATTTCCAGCATACAAGGGGCTCTTTCCCATGTGGAAACAGGGTTTGTTTGAGAAGGACAGCATACTATAAAAGTTAAGAAGAGATTGATTTTAAAAGAAAAAGCTTTTGGCAGTTTTCATGATCACAATTTAGAATGCGTGGAACAGTGGGTTTAATACATTTCTTTCAAACTCTGAGAATTGGTATGTTAAATCTATTTAAATCACAGCCCAGTGGATATCAATCTGAGAGAACTGGGAGATGTTAGATACTCAGCCTCATCATAACATCAAGCCAAATCCAACAAGAAGACCACGCTGAAAACTAGTCAAAGTAGATTGGTACAGCTGCAACAGAGAACTTCAGTCAAACTTCTTCGGGTGGAAAAAAGAGCTTGGAAATGTGGGAGATTAGCAAAGGATTGGCTTAAGAGGTTTGAAAAAATGACCAACCAACTAATTAGAAATCCCTTTTCAATTGTCAAGCTGCTGTAATCTTAAATGATGGCTTAATTTCTCAATCCTATGACGAATGAGCCGATTGTAGGCAAGTGGCAAAACTCAGTGGCTGCGTGCCAACTGAAACAGCTCCTGCTGCGAAGGGAAACTAAATGTGGACCAATTTGATCAGTAGAGTGCAGTTGCAAATCACAACAGAAGTAAAATAGTTCATTTAAAAATGTCTAAAAGCTGCCTTTTCTTCGTTAAGTATAAAGCCGTTTTATGAAAAAAAAAATCACTTGCAATCTAGAAATAATATTATATTCTCTCAATAAAATATGTAAGAACATGTTTGATGATGGTGAATACAGACTGGTGATAGTACTGGGAAGGCAGGAGTTGAAAGTAGTTTAATATTCCAAACATGCTTACGGTATTCTGTTATTTTACCTACACGGGCGCCACCTACAGAAGAAGAACCAATACCTTGTTCTTCTTTTGCTTGAAAATGCTGAAAAAGCTAAAATGGGACTTGACTAACCCCTTTCATTTTTTATAGCATAGATTAGATAGAAGCGGGGGCGGTACACTCACACTTAATGAAACAACTAGTGTCAGGCATGCTACAAATATGACAGGACTCTCCTTCTCCAGCTTGACAAAGCCACATGCATGTTTGAACAACTCATTCTCTCCTAACAGGCAAATTCCTATTCAGGTATTTCTGCTCAGCTCGTACAATGGCCTACTGGCCTGTATAACAGACAATGAAAGAGGCGAAAGCATGGTGTGGCTTTTACACCATTTTGCCAATAAATGAAAGGTCAAGAATGAAATAGTGAGGTGGTGATTCTTGATTGAGAAATGCATTATAGCATGGAATGTATTGCTTTCCTTTTGGGCTGTTGATGCCCAGGACATTCTTTGCTTGCTGTGAGACAGCAAGCAAAGAGGACTGTTTCTGCTACAGTGAATATGCGGTGCCGTTTTAATCTGGGATCAAACTGAAAATCCCCTCCCATAAGAGTTCAGTCAAGGTCATACTGGCGATTAGGCGGCCGGTCTATAGAGAGACAAACTGAGAGAAAAGGGGCAAAGGAGCTTTCAACCACCATTGGGGTCCTAATGAAGACGAAATACACAAGTTTCACAGAAGAGACATTCATTAGATGAACTCACTGCTTCCCTACCATGTTCAAGTCATTACTACCCGGCCTTAAAGCTTCCCATTTTGTCCGCCACATGTACCTGCAGCCTGGTGCTGAGCCCAGGCAGACAGCTGCTCTGTCTGAAGCACACAGAGACACCCAGACACGCACGCACAGACAGAGGTGAAAAGGGAGAGAGGGAGGGTGTCAGGGACATATCCACAGGCCTTGAAATAGAGCAGGACTGGCCCAGGTCAGAGCCAGCCGGCACAGCCACCTGTCTGGCATATAAGTTTTCAAAGGAAGTGATGTCAAGTCATCCCCAATGTGGATGATATGGCCAATGACACGCCAACTAAACTATGTGTACACCACATTAGCATTCCAACAGCAACGTTCACTGTTGTGAAAACATCTTGGATTTAATCTAATTAAATGTAATTATGTTGTGTAGTGGAAACATTACTCTACCATCTATAGGTGATGTTTTTAACCGGTTGCAGAGTCCTTGAACATCCTCATAAGATTCCCCAATTTTGCCTATGGCCTCTGCGCCTCTCAGTTCCATGAGGGCGCGTAGGTCTTTGAGCGAACAGCCAAACTCTCCATCGTGGTTGGCCTCCACCATGGAGTTCTTCACGCCGCTGTACGAGTTGTTCGCCATTGTCTCGCCGCCTCCTCACTCTGTTGCAAAGCGTTGCTGCCCCGGCTCGACGTTAGGGGTGGAAAAAAAAGAAAGTGTTGTCCTGGAAAAGCTTAAATCCTCAAGGGAGCGAACACAGTGGTAGTTCCCATAAACAGCTGACGGGACCTTCAGAGGCAGCTGGAGTCATATGGCAGGCAGGGCAGGGATATTACAAAACAAGCCATTTCCCTAGGAGAGCTGAGTTCCTAGTCTCTCATGGTGACTGGATCACCCACAGAGGAGATGATCACCATGCATGCAGATCTGAAAAGAGAAGAGCAAAGATAAAAGAAAGATAAGTAACACTACCGGGTGTTTTTTCACATGAACAGCAGGGATCCACATACATTTATTAATATCGCACTGACAAGTGACATATTTGCACAAACTGTTTATGTTTAGTTTCACTCTTGTTATCAACATGTGACTATTATTACCTATGAACCTTACTCAATGAGGATATTATTGTTGTATTTTCTTTAGTGACCTATTTTTAATGTAGCATGATCAAAATGATATGTATGTTACCATATCTGTTTTTTACACTTGCTGTCATCACATGGCTGCAGTACACTAGTACAGGAGACACAAAGCATGTTATTGCTGCGTAAGAGCAAACATTGAAACCCTTAGACAAAACCACTTGGTCGCTGAGACAAGTAGCAAAGTAAATGGCAAAACTGCCTGTAGCTATCGCCAAGAGATTTTGATTAGCTGTGCTTGAGTTGTAATAATCATTTTGTCATCTGGACAAAACTCATGTCAAGTATTGTGCACTCTGCTTTCAGTATGTGAGCTGAGAGGAGCATTAGCATTAGGGGTGGGTACCGAAATCCGGTTCCGATTATTGATTCCTAAGGAGATGCATCTCACCGCTTTCTGTACTGTTAGACGGGGGCGTGGCGGGAAATGGAGTGAGCACAGTAGCAGTGTTTGGAAGCAAGTGAAATTGTCATGGGACTTATTTGTACCCTCTCAACGAAGCAAAATCAAGAACCGAAACCTACCGTACCTACTGTTAACACAAATTCAACACTTATATACACTGTCTTTCACATTAAAGGGGCTTCAGAAGCAGCATTTCAATTGACTCACTTATGATCTACTTTTTAACACCCTGTGTCTGTCTAAAAGGACGCCTAATTATTTGACTGACATACTGTAGGGGCAGTAAATAATACTGAGGTAAATAGGGACAAATTACACACATGCTGAAATGGAATTGAAACTAACTTAATTCTGGGTGCAGTTCAAAAAACATATATATTGTAATTTATAATCTTCTCACCAACTTTATTCTTTTACTGTTAGGTTTGTATGTGTTGTTTATATATTGTATTTATAATGTTTTCCAAACTTCTTTCTCACTCTCACACCTATGAGAAAGTGAGAGAGTATAGTCTACTTACTTTTAAATACCGAGTACAAAATTACGATAACTCTACATGGCCATTCTGCGTAATAAAAAACAGCAATCTCCTCCTCTAGTACCCCCAGTTAGGTGAAGCCTTACAGTCAAATCCTTTCAATAATTACCCAGAAGATTGTATCACAGCACCCAGCCATGTCAAACAACACCCAGTCCGCCTGACATTGAACAAATAAATAATCAAGAGCTACCTGCAGTGTAACTGGTGGGGTAACGTAGTGAGCAGTGATTACCTCAGGACAAGCCTTCCGTTTCATCTAATTAGGACTATCTGTGGCATCAGGGAGCTCCATGCTGCTGTACATGGGAGAGTCCATTCTAATGAGAGGCGGCTGTCCATTCAGCTTTAATCAGCCTCACACAATGAGGCTGATTCATTCATGTCCACCAAGGTGATAGGAATTTGTCTTGGTGCAGCAAGGAAACAGAACTTCAAACATACAGCTACGATTGCAATATAAATCAAAATGGTGTCGAGATCGCAATATGGAAATATCCAAATTGCAATAAACGCAATATTTTGTAAAGGAAAGATATGTAAATATCTGAATAGTATTGTGCAAGTATTGTGGTGCTGAAGAAAAGTCCCGGCCTACAAACGGTATTCTATAGACTTAATTAAAAGAATCCTAGTTTTATTCCCCAAAAAAATATTTGTTGCTGCCGCAATATCAGTCACAAATAAATCGCATATGTTTTTCCAAATCATGCAGCCCTACATACAACATCCCAATACATTTACATAGGTTTAAGTTGAGCAGGTGTTCATCTGTTTTAAGGAGGCAACAGGAAGTATTCAAAGATTTTAAAAACATGATCTTGATTTATAATTTGAAAGAAACAGTGTACAACGTTTTTCATTGTCTTCAAAATACGCAGCAGTTATTTCAGCAGGGGAGGTTTTATTTTTTTTCTTCAATTATAGGTACAACATCGACCAAAACATGTTTCAGAGAACCCCTTTAATCTGTCTTTAAGTTAAACAGGATTTAAACATAAAACTCCAAAATAATTTCCCTAACCCCAAATATGCCAGAAAGATGCAGCACGAGAGAACATGTAGCCTTTATTATTGCTCACTGAACAAATGAATGCTTGCAGCTTATTCCATTGAGATTCTTGGAAACTATTCTGTCACATGTTGAGATTCTATTTGGAGCCATCTGCCATGGAAAACAGGACAGAATTTATTATTTATTACTCAGCATAATTGCAGGGCCGGGTGCATTACTGAGGTGGGAGAGATCGTAGAAATCTTCATTTTGAAAATAAAATGAATTTGGAAACAATGACTTGCCCTCGTGTAGTGAATTTGGCGTTTTGCTAATTCACTGTTTACACATCCTAACACCCTTTCACATCGGAGAACAAGAGTTGTTTTGTTACCAAGCCTTTGAGCTCTTTTTGCCTAACAGTAGTCCTTTTCACTAATTACAACAAAAGGACAAGTGAATGTCAGGGGTCAGGACTAATCTGCATGTCATCTTGCAATAACGTGTAATGTGGTTTTTCAAGAGTGGTCTCTGAACGACTCATCTTAAAATAGTAGGAATATTTTACTTGCTTGGGTAACACTTGTGCAGCCTATGGCAATGAATGCAATTCCCTGCATTCTCCATTTCTCTGTCTTCATGTTAAACTGCATGAGCCCTCTCGCACATTCACACCCCCTAACCCCGCGAGCAGCAACAACGCCGAGATGAAGGAAGTGCCAACATTTGCTGCGCTGCTACAGTTTCGGGTTGCGGAGCAGGTCACATGTCACAACAGTGGAAAATCATTGTGATTGGATCTCCAAGCCAACAGCTGGCATGGTATGGTTGAATGACAGAGTCTAAGATTAACCCTTTTCACACCACAGCAGCAAAACCACAGTTCAGCATGAATACCGAGGGGTTTCAGAGTCTTGAAAGACACAAGTCTGTTCTCCACCCAGGCTATTTATAGCTGCGATATCGCACATTAGATGCACACTAGATCCTCCGCCCAGAAGGCTATGGCAAGTGGAAACAAGTGCATCGGACAACTGTGGTGGGAATCTAAGAAATATACTTTGTTTCCACGCTAAGGAAACCCTCTGGCAGTTTGTGCACCTTTATGTGCCAAAAACTCGATGCAAGTCGATGATTTCAATTCTAGGGATCCCTCTGCAATGGAGCTGCCTAATGCGAGGGGTGGTATTTTTAGTCTCGCCCAGACTGCCCCCTCCCCCTACTGCTAGCCGTTACTGAACTGGGTCAGGCCATGTAAATGTGGAGGGTACAAAGCAGAGACATCCAGCCCTCCTTGTGCTACATGGCTCGCAGCTGAGAACGCTACTTCAGTCTACAGACTGGACCCTCTACATGGCCCTCGAACACTGTCAGGCTGCCAGGTCATACCAACACAGGCAGAGGTGTCACCGTCAACACACTTCAGCCCTTCTTACTGTATGTATGTCATCGAAAATAATAATTAACCATAATCTTTTTCCTTTAAATATAAAGGCACAATTATTACCAATTATTGATTTGATTTTCTGTTTTAAACACACATCACTAAAACCATGCAGGTGACATATGCTAGTCTGAAACTGGGGCAGAATTGTGTCTCCTTACATCATAACAGGAAATAAATAAATACTATATCTTTGGTCCACCACATGTAATCTAGAAACATGGAGAAGAACAGGTTGCTCCAGAGTGCTCATAATGACGCTGGGAAGAAAACTCCATGAAAGGGGTCTGTCAAAACAAGATCAAATCAAGACCTTATTCAATCCCTGCACACTTGAATGAAGGTGACTGAGTCTCTTCTATAAGGTGTTATACAAAACCCTGATGTGAAAGCTGGCAAATGTGAACCACTTAGTGTTTTAAAACCACATCACAGCATGTAAGATGTCACAAAGTGTATAGTGTTCCAGTTTTCCTTCACTTGCTCATTGAGACGATGCCTGTGTAAATTGGTAGAGGTGAAAAACTATTTAAAAGCCCTGAATAGAGTTCTGGAAGACTACCCTGTTATTAAAAACTGTGATTAATGACAGACATAATTCTTTCACACCATTAAAAAGAACATGGTTTTTTTTGCAGGACCAAATGTACCTTAAATCATTTTAAGTACCATTACAAGCTTTAGCATTGGCAATATTGTAGTCATCTTGAAAATGTGACTGTAAAAATATTAGAATATTTTTCCTTTAGGAGGAAAGAAACCAGAAGGGATGGTTTTATTTTGTCGTAGGTGTTCCCCTCCAAAGGATGGAAAATATTCTAAAATGAAGCACCTTTCATTGAGCCACTTTGAAGATGAGAGGCTCTGTGTGTTCTTTGTTATATGTGGTTGTACACAGCAGCTCAATGGCCTGAGGTCCTGCCGCTTTGCTGCCACAGTCTGACCTTGCTGTCTTTACCATTACAATTTCAGGACGCAGTGGAGTGGAGCGTTAAAGTCATTTCACCAGGACCTGGGGAAGGGAATGCAATTTGTGCTAGACAAACATATATGAACGCAATGATATTACAGGCTGCCGTAGAAGTAAATGAACTCTGAAAGCCAAAGAGGGCTA